CCGAGGGGGTGGGGGGCTGGGCATGGTGGCTTTGCAGTGGTGCGCTTCCCCCAGGGGGCCACTAGGAGGCAGCAGCGTTAGGAGTCTTGCGGCCCAGCTGAAGCTTGATCTAGGGAGGGGCTGGGGTGAAAGGGGAGTAGGAGAGGGAATGGGCCCCGGATTCACCCCAGTGCCCAGGGCTCAGCCACGGTGGGGTTGGGCATTTACCAAGAAAGCATCTTCCCCCGACTATGAGTCAGGGTGTCATTGCCTCTAGGGCAAAGGGGAGCGTTGCCCTCCCCTCCCTGGCTTTTCATAGGTCCATGGGCTCTACCCGATGCGTTATTCTGCCTGCTGGCCCCACAGGGGAGGCGGTCCTGGAATAACCAGTTAAACCTCCCTCCCACGGCAAAACATTGCAAACAGGCTCTTCCCGCCAGCGGCCCACGCCAGACAGGCACCACGGGGCGGGGGGGAGTAGAAGCCAGCCCCGTTCATGCGGGTGGCGGTAACGGGCAGGTGACTAACCCCCGGAATGACTTTCCCGGGTGGCTGAGCTGTGAGCCATGCTGCCGTGTTCGCCTCAAAGAGCAGCTCCGGTTCCAGCAGGACTTCCTTTCAGGCCCCGTTGCACAGGCGGTCTGGTGAGAGGAGCCCAGCCGATCCAGTCCACAGCCCAGGCTGGCCCTGACATCAATGGAGTCGGGTCCTTAAGTGCCTCGGAAGATCAGGGCCGCTCCTGGTACGGTCCCGCATGCAGCCGAGCCCTGGGGGTTCCTAGTGAGGCGCATGGAGGCCGGGAGGACTCACCTGTGCTAGGCCAGCGGGTTTCAAACTTTTTTTTCCTCGTGACCCAGTGGAAGAAAATTGTGGGGGCTCCAGGGCGGGGCTGAGGATGGAGCTTTGGGGCATAGGAGGGGGCTCCGGCTTTGGGGGGGATCAGAGCTGGGGCAGGAGGTGCTTACCTTGAGCGACTGCCAGTCAGTGGTGTGGTGCGGGAGAGGGAAGGGGGCCTAAAGCAGTTTTTTGCCTCTCCTGGCACTTCAGACTATGCTGCACCCCAGAAGCAGGC